AATTCCCCAGCCAGCCATGCTGGCTAGGGAATTCTGGGAGTTGAAGTCCACCCATCTTAAAATTGCCAAGGTTGAGGAATCGTGCTCTAAGTACACAGGCAAGGTTCACAGACATGCTAATCTACCAGTGGTTGACTTTTCAGGTTTGCAAAGACAAAGAGAGCAGTCAAGGCCTGTGGTCTGCTAAGCAAGGGCTGAGCTCCTGAGAAACAGCCCTTCTCTGCCTCCTAATAAGTATTTGGGTAGAGAAGAACAAGCAATACAATTAGGATTTGAACAACGACTGCAGCTATAGCGGCTGAGCGGGCTGCCTTGCAACGTGTGGGAATGAAAGAGTTACTCCTTGGCCCCACTCCTTTCTCCTCGGCTTCCCTGCGGTCTGTGGGCTGGACAGAGCAGAAGACATAGGAGTTGTTCTTCCTAGCTCCATAGAGGAAGAGCAGTCTATAAGGGCTGGGGCCAAACCTGCAATGGGGTCTGTATAGGAATGGATTCTCTTCCTGGAAGGAATGTCCTCTCCCCATCTGGATACAGATCACAAAGTTCAAACCCTGGGTTGGGACTGGGGTTCAGATGGGGGTCCCTCCTAGGCCTGCCCTTTATATTTCCAGCAGAAAGAGAATCTCTTTGAGCCAATTCATCCCCCCCCCTTTTTTTTGGCAAGGCAGTTTTGCAGATGCTGGAGAGAAGGCTTTTGATTTGGATCGGGGTTGCTGTAGTAGAAGGGGATTTTAAAGCTCTCTGTTCCCCTTGCTATCTGACTCAGCCCCTTGCCCTTACTGAAAGAAGGGGAAAAGAGGCCTTTTGAGCAAATGCAAGGCGTCCTTGTGATGCGAAGTTGCAAAGGAGCCACAAAGGTGTGTGGGTAGATACAGATGTGCTTGAATGCGAGCGGATTGAAGGTACGGATGGGTGTTGCATGTATGCGGCCTGACTAGCTCGCTTTTGGCTCTGGTCACACCTGCTGTTCACACATGCACAGCCTTCCCTCCATCCTGCCCGTTGGGAGTTAAAAATGTTTTCTCCCTGGAAATGGAATTAGATTCAACTCTTTATTAGAGCTACAGGTATTTCGAAATGGCAAATTATGTTTTACTGTCCATGGATAATGGATGTTTACTCTGCTTTGGCCTTGCTCTCTATCGGACAATTTGGCTGCACGCAGGCTGATAGCACCAAAATAGAACAGTTGGACCTTGAAACTTGCCAGCTTTTAGCTGTCTCTGGCACTTCTCTTCTTCCTCTTAGAACTGAAAGCAGGACGTGCAGTCCCATAATATCCTCAGCAAGATTAGGCAGAAAAGAAAGGGAGTGGCTGGCCGCTCCAAGGCTGCGCATTGAGCGAATGTGAGAGCTTGAATTTTGCCCACCTTTGGCCAATTTCAGCTCTTAATGTGATGGTTTTGTGTTGCTTTTTTTTTTTTAAGAATATTTCCCCCTTGCCCAGCAAATTTTACAAGAAGAGAGCTAGCCTGGCAAAGCACAATGAGATCTGGTCTGGAGGCAGCCAAGTGGGAGCGAAGAGGAACTTTGTCTAGGACATATAGGGAGAGAGCTTCAGAATGCTCATCACTTACAATTTGCCAGGTACAGTAAAGCCAAACCAACCCTGGCTGGTCATTTTCTTGAAGGGTTTGTTTTTTATTGGCAGACATGAGGTTCTTGAGAGAAGAGTGTCACAGAATAGGAAACCCCCCTGCAGCCTCGCAGTTGGTGTCTGCTGCCGTAAGCAGAAACTCTCAATCCTTCGAGGTAGTCCAGACAAGAAGCACAACTGTGAACCCTAGTTCTGTCTTTATGGTATGGTGACATGGACAGAATCTTGCAAGACTGGAAGTGTTTTCCCCTCCTTTCCTTTTATTCTTTGGAAAACTAGGGAGGGTCCCTTCTGAAACGATTCCCACGCCCCCTCTCCTTCTGTGGGCTGAGAAATTTTTTACATGCCGGTTGTCCAGTCTGCGGTTCTCCCCCCTGTCTCCCAAGGTCATTCCCACATACCATTACATCAACCAGGTTTATTTGTAGCTGGGTTGACTGGAGGGGGGGAAGTTTCCAACGGATGTTGAATGCTGAGGACTGTACTGGTAGTGGGGATCAGTGCACGTGGAACTTAGTGAAGCTAGTTTTGAATTGGGCATATCTTGGATCATGATTTAATAATGTATATCCTGCTTTTTCTCCAGAAGCTCAGGGCGGCCTAGATCACAGTCCTTCCTCCAATTTTTCCCCAGGTATGTTGTACTGAGAGAGAGAGGAACCAGCTCAAGGTCACCTAGGCAGGATTAGAACCGCTACTTAACCATTATACTTCACCAATGGCCATATCAACTTTTCAAACAATTGTTAAAAATGAGAGGACTGCATCTTTCCTTTTTGTCCAACATTATTAAGGGGTCTCACATTCTCTGTCTCTTCCCTCTCCTCTCCATCTGTTTTTCCCTCCCTTTTCGGGCAGGGCTTTTTTATCCCTGTATGACAGGTAGAAATTTGGCAGGGGAAACTTATCTCAGTTGCATCCCCAGGTTAGAAAAAAAACTTCCTCTCTTAACTTTCTGCTGTTTAAGCTGCTGCTTATCTTGCACCTGTTATATGCTTTTTAAAAAAAACTTGGTACCCATATATAATCTATAAATACTTATCTGCAGCCTTGGGGAAACGTCTTTTAATGTTGCTCAGCTTTGATAGGTAAACATGTCTGGGCACGAATAGCCGAGGAAGATAGTTGGTTTTACCTTTTGACACATTGCTCCGGATGATGTGCAGTCAAATGAAGATTTCTTTTGCCTCCGCTGTTCCTGTTTCATTCCCACTATTTCAGTCCTGGTCAAAGGTTAGTTGGTTTCTCTGTGCATGTGCTGGCGCCTTCCTCCTTTGCAATCGATAAGTCACCATGTGGTTGAACATTAGGAGAGGAAGCTGAACAGGCACTTAGAAACTTGGCTGCGTTCCTGGGGATGAAGGAGGATTAGCTTAACTGCTGTGCTCATCCACAAGTCCTTTTCGTAGCTGGAGGTTTCAATGCTTCGCCAACAGAATGAAATGACCTTTTCCCATTTCATGTGTGTTCTCATGTATCTGCATGTTGGTGCAGGTCTCTCCTGCTGGACTGGACTGCACTGCCCCACCTCTCTGAGATCAGATGAACCTCATGAGGCCAGACCCCAGGCCTGTCTCTCTCAGCTTTCTGTCACCCACAATGGCCAAACAGATACTACCCTTTGGAGATCTGCAAATGGGAAGCAGACAAAGCAGGGTGACCCCCACAACAGTTCTCCTCCATCTCCTTCTCCTTCTCTCTTAACTTTTCAAGGTCAAGGAATTCGCCACGGTGTGATGAAAGTAGGAAATGCAAAGTGCGGTGAAACAAAACAGTGACATTAAAATATACACATATATTGAAAAATCTCAGAGGTAGAAAAATTCACTCATTTGAAAGCATCCGCTCATTGAAAAGCAGGTGCAAACATGTCATTGTTTAAAGAACATTTATGTACAGCCAGAGCAGGAGCTAGTGATGGGGTTTTCTGTGAAGAGAATGATTGGTTACGTGCCATCACATCAATGCCAACTCTTAGCAACCACATAGATTTTCTCCAGGGTGATCAGTCCCCAACTGATCCTTCAAGTCTTCCATCAGTGCACCCAGGGGAACGGTAATTCAGTCCACACATCTTGCTCTGATCATCCTCTTTTTTTCTTTCCACCGTTCCCAGCATTATAGACTTCTTGAGAGAGCTAGGTCTTCACATAGTATGTCCAAAATATGCTAATATGAGCCTGGTCATTTGTGCTTTGAGTGAGAACTCTGGGCTGATTTGTTCGATGGTCCTTTGGTTTATTTTCTTGGCTGTCCACAGTATTCT